CACCTTCAAATAGCCAAGCTTCAAATGACTTCAACTCCCAGAATTCCTCACTGCACTGCATTGCAACGCATGACTGCATTGCATGGTAGTGGCCAGCAATGCTGGCTGGGGAATTCTGGGAGTTGAAGTCCCCTCGGACTTCAAGTGGCCAACTTTGGACAACCCTACATTAGAAGGATTGCAAGCCACGATTGACACTCTGCTGCCACCTAGCGACGCCCAGAAAGTTTTGCAGCCCCCCCAAGGCAGATAGTTAATGCCGGTGAACGCAAGGGGTCTTTTGGGGGAGGGAGTGTTAAAGTAATTAAAACCCGGATAACAACCAGGCCCAACCCTTCCCTTGGTTACCGGCCTTTCTTGCTCACCGTCTCCCAGAAGCTCCGCAGAACCCGGCTCGGAAAGAGCCGCCGTCCTCGTCTCGGGAACACTTTTCAGTCCTTCCATGCTGGCACCAGAAGAACCCAGCTGCATCGTGACGTCATAAAAGGGCGCCACCCGCTCTGTCGCGCGTAGCCTTTTTGAACATAGAGATTGGAAAGGGGTAGACGTGCACGTCTCCTCCCTAAGGCTTTCTATTCTGATTCGCTCCCTAGAAGTGGATCCTATTTGTTCTCTGATTCCCCAAAGAGAACTTTGTAACATAAATGTAACACACGATATAATGCAGAGGTCTCTAAAGCTTGGCAACTTGAAGACTTGTGGACTTCCAACTCTCAGAATTCCCCAGCCCACATTACTGGCCGTTGCCATGCAACCGAGTCCATGCGGTGTATTGGGGAATTCTGGGAGTTGAAATGTGTTTAAATATTATTCGGTATTCAAATATCCAATATGGAATTCTGGGAGTTGAAGTTATTTGAAGCTTGGCCACTTGAAGTCGGGTAGACTTCAACTCCCAGAAATCCCCAGCCAGCATTACTGGCTGTGCTATGCAATGCAGTCATGTGCTACAATGGAGTCAGTGCAATGCAATAGGAATTCTGGAAGTTGAAGCATGACTCAAAACCAAAACAATCTAAAGCAACAAGGAACTGATTCAGACTGTCATTGGCTTAGTTTGACAGGGGTGGTGAGTGGTGGAGTGATTTACAACAGTATAAAAGATAATATTTATAGCTCCAGGTTGAACTGTGAGCTCCTTGCTGCTCTCTTCAACTCTGGGAGTTGAAATCCACAAGTCTTAAAGTTGCTAAGTTTGGGCACCCCTGATATAATGCCTTGGTAAGGCCACACTTGGAATACTGCATTCAGTCTTGGTCACCATGATGTAAAAAAGATGTTGAGACTCTGGAAAGAGTGCGACCAAGATGATTAGGGGACTGGAGACCAAAACATAGGGTTGCAGGAACTGGGTATGTCTAGTTTAATGAAAAGAAGGACTAGGGGTGACATGATAGCAGTCTTCCAATATTTGAGGGGCTGCCCCAAAGAAGAGGGAGTCAAACTATTCTCCAAAGCCCCTGCAGGCAAGCCAGGAAGCAATGGGTGGAAACAAATCAAGGAGAGAAGCAACCTAGAACTAAGGAGAAATTTCCTGATGGTGAGAACAATTAACCAGTGGAACAACTTTACTCCAGAAGTTGTGAATGCTCCAACACTGGAAGTTTAAAAGAAGAGATTGGACAACAATTTGTCTGAAATGATGTTGGGTTTCCTGCCTGAACAGGGGGTTGAAGACCTCCAAGTTCCCTTCCAACTCTGCTATTCTATTCTATTCTATTCTATTCTATTCTATTCTATTCTATTCTACTCTATTCTACTCTATTCTATTCTATTCTATTCTATTCTATTCTGTTCTGTTCCTATTCTATTCTGTTCCTATTCTATTCCTATTCTATTCTGTTCCTATTCTATTCTATTCTTATTCCTCTTCTCTTCCTCTTCCTCTTCTATTCCATTCCATTCCTATTCTATTCTATTCTATTCTATTCTATTCTATTCTATTCTATTCTATTCTATTCTATTCTATTCTTATTCCTCTTCTCTTCTCTTCTATTCTGTTCCTCTTCTATTCTATTTCTATTCTTTTCTTATTCCTCTTCTATTCTATTCCTCTTTTATTTTATTCTATTCTTATTCCTCTTCCTCTTCTATTCTATTCTATTCTGTTCCTATTCTATATTATTCCTATTCTGTTCTGTTCTTTCCTCTTCCTCTTCTCTTCTCTTCTCTTCTCTTATTCTATTCTAATTCCCATTCCTCTTCCTCTTCTTCTTCTCTTCTATTCCTCTTCTATTCTATCCTATCCTATCCTATTCCTATTCCTATTCTATTCTATTCTATTCTATTCTATTCTATTCTATTCTATTCTATTCTATTCTA